ATTCAAATAAAAGTTATTTTCCTTTTATGATCATTCACTCTGATATATGGGGTCCATCTAAGTTTACAACGTTGGATGACTCAACGTGGTTTGTAATGTTTATTGATGATTATATTCGAATGACTTGGTTATGTTTGATGAAGTCTAAAAGTGAAGTTGGATGACTATTTCAGAAATTCTGCAAAATGATTGAGACCCAGTACAAAACACAAGTTCAGGTAATGCGCAGTGACATCGGAGGAGAATATATGCAATCAGAAATTCAATATTTTTTAGTAGCCAAAGGAATTGTTCATCAGATATCTTGTCCAAATACTCCACAACAGAATGGGATGACAAAACGAAAGAACTGTCATCTATTGGAGGTGGTCCGAGCTGCACTGATTGGAGCTCACATGCCAGCAATATATTGGGGAGAAACTCTCACATATGCAGTATATACTATCAACCAAACACCGTTCAAGTCTCTTGAGTATAAAACACTTCTTCAATCACTTACAGATGCAATAGTAAGTCCTAAAATTGTTGAACTAACACATAGAGTTTTTTGTTGTGTTGCTTATGTTCACTTACACAAGTATTAGAGAAGTAAGTTGTCTCCTAGAGCTAAAAGGTGTGTGTTCCTTGACTATGCGGATCACCAGAAAGGATATCGGTGTTATGATAGGTGTCTAGTTTGCATCATTTTTAATGGCGCTTTGTTTGAGTTTTCTAGTTTATTTGTGTTAGAATTTCCCTTAATTCCAATTGTTTTCCTTCATTCCACACATGTTATTTGGGTATCTCAGTTTTGCAAGAATAACTTTGTTAAAGGTTTATAAACTTGGAAACGGGAAGCATTTGATGAAGCCTTGGATGGAAAGAAATTCAAGCCACTAAAAACACACAAATAAAACCATATCAACTATTGGATTGCATTATAAAAGAAAAGAGAAAAGAACAATTCAGGGCCTTAAAACATTGTTAAAGAGCATTTTAGGTGAAGTTCAGTGAAATCCACTGGCAGTGGGTTTTTCCCATTGGCCGTGGACTTCACTGGAAAATGGCACTGTGGCGTAAAACAAATCCACTGGCCATGGGTTTTTCCCACTAGGCGTGGACTTCACTGGAAAATGAGCATTGGACCCCTATCACGATCCACTGGTCGTGGATTTTTCCCACTGGCCATGGACTTCACTGGAAAATGAGCATTGGGCCCCTGTCACGATCCACTGGTCGTGGGTTTCTCCCATTACCAGTGGATTCTGCACGTTTTGCACTTTCCCTAAATTAGAGGAGCGGTTTTTTATCATAAAAGATATAAAAAAATAAGTTACGGAGCACGAAAGGAAGGAGACATTTTTCCCAAAAAGAAAATTGAAGAAGACCAGAGAAAAAGAGGGAGAACGATTTCTTCTATAAAGAGGGAAATCGAAAAAGCTACAGAGGAGATAGTGAGAACTTCTCTTCTATTCTCTAACTTCCTGTCTCATTTCTGCTTTTCTCTTATGTTAGGGTTTGATTTATTGTATTTTGGATTGTAATCATCATTTCTATGGCACACTAAATCTCATTCTTAGGATTAGGGGGAATATGTTTATGTATCAAATTTGAATACTTTGAATTTCTCTGTTATTGAATTTCTGTTTTTTATTCATTTCCATGAGAACCTAAAGCTTCTAATGGCTTAGAGATAAGGTTAGATGAATTTAAATGATGTGGATGATTGAGAGATCGATATATCATTAGAAAAGCATGGAATTGAACCTAGGAATTTGGGTTACAAAAGTAGACAAAACTCTTTGAGGGGTAATTGGATTTTCATAAAGCGTAAAGGATCTACTTAACAAATTGAACGTTGTTCTTCAGTAATTAGGTATGTTATTGGGGGTTTCGAGAGGAATACATTAATCAATTAAGGAAAATTCACCTTAGAAATAGAAGTTAAATAATGGGAAACGAATTGCTTTAAATTGAGTACGTAACATATGAATCTACCGACTCCTAAGAAAGTTTTCACTTTGAATCTCTTGTCAATAGTTTTTGGTTTTCTATTCATTTTGCAATATATTCTATTTGAAACAATTTGTTTGGATAATTGAATCACTGTGTACCGGTACTTGGGCATAATCTTTGTGGGAATGATAACTTTTTATTACGTGATACCTCGTACGCTTGCGGAACGGCTATCATGCTACAATCCACAAACCAAGCAAATGTTTACTACTATAGATGTAGTTTTTCATGAAACCTTGATATATTTTTTCCCCGAGTCTGAAATTCAGAGGGAGAATTATGATGAAGTTCAGACTTTTGTTCCTCAAGAAATTGATATTAAGGTCAGATTAGAGAAAGAAAGTTACAAAGTTGTATCAGGAGATAATGAAAGTATGCAACAATGTGATGATCAACAACCACATATTGAGGAAGATTTTGAGCATGTCGAGATCGAAAATTTTCCTGTTGATGCTGATAATATACCACACCAATCGTCCCCTCAATAACCTAATACAGAAAAAAGAATTCTTTAAATCGTGTCACTAGAAGTATCCCTAAGTCTACTTATGATCCTAACCTCACCAGTAAGACAAGATACCCTATGAGTAATTATATTTGTAACCATAATTTGTCTAACTCAAATATCGCATTTATAAGTCAATTATCTACTGTATCTATTCCTAACAGTGTGCAGGAAACTTTAGTTGACTCCAGGTGGAAGGATGCTATGAATGAGGAGATGAGATCCTTGCAAAGAAATAAAACATGGGAATTGGTAGATTGTCCAGTTGGAAAGAAGCCAGTAGGATGTCGATGGGTGTATATTGTGAAATTTAATGCAGATGGCACAATTGAGAGATTCAAAGCTAGATTAGTGACAAAGGGGTACACACAAGCATATGGAATAGATTACATTGAAACGTTTGCTCTCGTAGCCAAAATTAGTACAGTTCGAGTATTGTTATCTTTAGCTGTAAACCTTGATTGGTTCTTGCAACAATTTGACGTAACAAATGTCTTCTTACACGGGGAATCGTCTAAAGAAGTTTATATGGAGCTATCAGAAGGATGTGAGATCCCGAATACACATAACAAGAAGATATGCAAGTTGAAGAAGTCATTGTATGGACTAAAACAATCACCACGAGCATGATTTAGTAGATTCACCAAGTCAATGCTTGTTTTTGGATATCAACAGAGCAACCAAAATCATACCTTGTTTCTAAAGAAAAAGGAAGGAAAGATTACAATTATTATTGTCTATGTTGATGACATGATAGTTACGGGAAACTATCTAGAGGAACGCAAGACATTGAAAGAGTACTTGGCAAAGGAATTCAAGATGAAGGATCTTGGTCCTTTTAAGTATTTTCTTGGAATTGAGGTCTCAAGATCAAAGTTAGGTATTTTTTTTCTCACAACGAAAGTATGCATTGGATTTACTGAAAGAAATTGGAATGACAACATGCAAACCAACAAATTCTCCAATTGAAGGGGGATTGAAGTTGTGTATTAAAGAAGATCAAACTCTAACTAACAAGGGAAGATATCAGAGACTTGTAGGGAGATTAATGTATCTCTCGCACACTAGGCCAAATTTAGCTTATGCTCTTAGTGTGGTTAGTCAGTTCATACACAATCCAGGTGAAAAACACATGGATGCTGTTATACGGATTTTAAGGTACATAAAAGTTGCTCATAGAAAATGAGTTATATTCAAGAAGAACACCAACTATAAGAATGTGATGGTTTATACTGATGCAAATTGGGCATGTGCTCTTGATGATAGAAGATCAACCTCTGGATATTTTACATTTGTAGGAGGTAATCTTGTCACCTGGAAAAGCAAGAAGCAGAAAGTTGTAGTTAGATCCAGTGCAAAAGCTAAACTTAGAGGAATGGTTCTTAGATTTTGTGAATGTTTGTGGCTCAGACTACTTCTTTAGGATTTAGGATATGCACGTACATGTCTCATTCAGTTGTATTGTGATAATAAAGTTATGCGTGACATTGCTCACAACCCTGTCCAATATGATCGGATGAAGCATATGGAGATTGATAGATTTTTCATCAAGGAAAAGCTAAATAAAAATATTATGGAATTGTCAAATATTTGATCTGAAGATCAGCTGGGAGACATTCTTACCAAAACTGTGACAAATCAGATTTTTAGGAGATTATTGGACAAGTTGGTAATGTATGACATTCATTTACCAACTTGAGGGGGAGTGTTAAGATAAAAATATTTGATAAACTAAATTATAAGTTTATATAGCTTATAAGATTACAGTATTTGTGTAAAAAATAATATGAATAAAATTATAAAATAAATTATATGATTTTCAATTTTTATGGTCATACATCACATCACGTTCTGTACGGATGTTGGTCTATGGAAATATAGAGAAAACTTGGGAATTCTCTTTTTCATTCATCATTATTTCCATTGAAGGTGACAACCGTTAAAGGAAGTTCACTCTCCCATTAAAAGATAAGGATACATAGCTCTCGAGCTTCAATTTCTTGAAATTTATGATGGCAAATTGGTTTGGTGTTGGACAACCTTTTTTTAGATGGAAAATGAACAACCTGTCTCCAGAACCAGAAAACAAACAAGTTTTATGCTTGGCATTCCATAATTCTACTATTGCAATCAGTCCTTGAACGAGTTGAAAGCCATTGATGGCTCAAATGTGTCAACTTTTGTATGCTTATTCGTACTTATGAATGATGCGCTTCACAAATTCATATTCGCGATTGCAACAAAAATGAAAGAAAAAATATGATAAAAACAAAGAATAGTGTTATAACCGAAGTGTATTTATTTTGGAAGATGAGGAGTCTTAAAAAAAGAAGAAAAATCTTGCATTAGAAACAAACACATACTATCTAGATGACCTAGGATGAGAAAAGGAATTGAAATACAATGTCTAATTCATATCCATGTCTTGTTTGTAGTAGAGATCAATAGAAAACTGTATGAAGAGACAGAAGGGAGGGAGAACTACAGAACAGCAATTCCACTACTCATTTTTGGAAGTGCTTGAATTCTCATCCTGCCAAGTTGCTTGCCATTGCTTGTCATATAACGTAGTCTCGTCCAACAGCTTCTTAAGGTTTTCAAAGTCCTCGTTCTTTCGGATCAGAAGTACTCCTACCACTGCTACGAACAGCAGAGTTTTGCAAAAGAAGTTGCCCATTTGATCAACAAGGCCTACTCCTGTCAAGCTATCAACCAGGTATGCCATAAAGAATCCTATCATAGCGGCACGGCCTGCAAGATACTCAAAACAAGAAAAAGGTCAGCAATGAAGGTTTTCTTAGTTTTAATTTGTCTCTTAATGACATAAGAAATTATTCTTTAATTTCATTCTGGAATGCAAGTCAAAACTGACCATTGAGTAGTTCAGCTTCAGGGAGATGGAACCTTTTCATCCATGCCCACCAGGGTATGATGGAGGTGTCAAAAACCACAGGATTATCATTGCTGGATGATTCCGGGTTATCCTCAAGCCATTTCCTCCTTCTGGCCTCTGAAAATAATTACATCCTTGGATGAAATAAAGGTCGACGTATCTTAAGGGGGTAAGGGGGGAATGAAACCAACTAGATATGAATCTAACCCAACATCAACTATGTGTAACCCCTTTACCAAATAAAGGAAAATCTAAATACAAAATGAACCCATGCACTGTCAACTAGAATACAGGAATGACGTTGCTGCATATTATTAGCAAACTGATTTCATTGAGAAAAGCTTCACCATGACAAGAAGAACAACTTATTATTCAAGAATAGGTAGAGTCGAGAAACGAACAGAGCCCTTCTATGTGATCACAAGTTAGATACACAATAATGGACACATCTAAAATCTAAAATCCCCCAAAAGGTATATCTTTCTCTTGTCAACAAGAGGATAGGTGCCAAGAAAAAGCCCTGTGCCAAACAGAAAGAAATCACAACATAAATACAGTTTGTAGCAATGAGCAACCATTGCTTGTGCAAAATGGTTACTTCAAAATTACTTAAGAGGGAAAACTTTAGGCAGTCCCAGAAGAAGAAACAGCTATGTATGAAGCTATGAGGCTACAGGCACAAACCAAAACCTCCCTGTCTTCAATTTACAAGAAAAAAAAAAATCCCAACTTCAATTTCAAGCCAAAGCTAAAGAAAATGAAAAAGGCTGATTTCAATTAAAAGTAGAAACTTAACAAGGGATGCAGCACAGTGAGCAAGGGATAACATTACCAGCATCAATAACAGCATCCCAATCTGTGGTGCCATTTTTCTGAAACTGCTTCAAGTCCCATGTTCCTGCAACCCATCTCGAATCCACGAAACCGCCTTGAACCTTAACTTCCTCACTCCGAACCGCGATAGCAGCAGCCCCATTGGTCCCAACAGAACTATTGTCGAGCGGCGGGGGAGAGGGTTCGGGCGCGGCCTCCAGCGGCGGCTCGACGGCAGTCCCGACACCGTTCTCAGCAGCAGCCCTGAAGGAAGAGAGAGCAAGGGTCCTGGACCTGAGAGAGAAGAAGACGTTGGTTTTGTGGAAGAGACGAGGTCTGGAGTGCGACGAAGGAGTGGCTGAGAAATGGGTGGGAGGCGAAAACGAAGCCATGGTGGTTGACATGCTTTGCAGCTGCATTAATTTGGCTGGTATGTGACTATGAGGGTGTGTGGTGGGGGAAATATCAGAACATGGTGGTTGAGTAACTTGATGAGTGGGTGAGTTTCTGAGTTTCTATTTCCGGCTGGGGCTATCCTCAGCCTTAGAAAAATATGAGCACAGTTCAACACAAATGCGAAGTAGTGAAGTGAAAAAGGAAAAAGGCACACTGTGCTGCCCTCAACTTGTTTGTCGTTTGTCCCTTCTCATCGATTGCTTATCCAATCATCTCCTCCTATACACAGCCTATGGATTACACCATCTTCCAACCTACAAAATGACCCATCAATTGCTTCTTTTCTTCACTCCACGTAGACTATGCCTTATGAATGCCCCTGTTTCATTTGTAATTAACCTTTTTTTTTCTTATCTTTTAATGTCAAAACTATATTTGGCTTTAAGAATTTTAAGAAATATGATTTTATTGCTTAGACTCACCCAAATTGAGTTGAGTTGAACATCACTTAATTTTAGAATGGGTATCAGAACTAAAGGTCAAAATCGACAAGCAAAATAGAGGATTTGAATGGTTTGTGTGAAGTGAACAATGTTAACAAACATTCATATGTGATGTTTTACTTTAAAAGGAAGTAGTAAATTATGTTGTACATATGTTCCTCTTATTTCTAATAATATATAAAAGACAATTACAATGTGTATTCGATATTTTAGCGTCGTTTGGAAATAATGTTACCGTTGAGGAAATATGAATCCCCACAAAATTTGATTATTGATTTACGTTGGTTTTGAAAAATGAATGGGATAAGTAACAATCACACAGATAATATACTATTGTTTCAATGTTCTTGATAAATAATTGTGTTATAAGGTTTTTCATTTTTTTTTTTAATTTGAAACTTTTATATCGTCAAAAGTTATTGTGCTTATAAATAAATAGTTTAATTTGCTAAAGGATTTTTCACAAAATCAAAATCTCTTTGTCTAAGATTTTAGATACTATTAAACATTATTTAACTTACTTTTTGGGAGTCCTTAATAAGGAAGAGAATTTGAGAAAAAAAAAAAGAGTAAAGATTTCCTCTTTGGTAATCATTAAAGGAACTTGGAAAGTGGAATCTTCACTTCACTTGACCAGATTATATATTTTATTTTTCTCCATTTGATGTTAGTGATTTTATCTTTGTATTCAATGTTCGCTAGGAGAAACATGATTTTCTTTTAGATATGAAATCTAATTGAAAATTGTATTTTATTGATTGATCTAAATTGAATCACCTAATGAGTTAGAAATTAATCCATTAGTTATTTAAAATTGATAAGAGGATAATTAATCCATTTTTAAACTTTACTAATGAGAAATATTTTTAAACAAACTTTTCTCAATGACACTTGTTTAACAATTAAAAAAAGACAAAATCTTTCGAATTAATTATGTGTGCAAAATGAAAATATCTTAATGTATACCATTAAAGTATCATAATAAAGAATGAAAAATGATCTTGTTCCTACTTAATCCATTTAATATTATGAGACACTAACCTTCCATTTTAATTGTTTAACTATATTTGATAATCATTTTTAGAATATAACTCTTAAAAAATTTAATGATTAATATATGTATCAATATAATAACATTAGTTTTTTTACTCTCTTTTTTCTTTCTTTAATCTTTAAACTTGTGAAAACTTAGTTATTGCAAAAATTGGTATGCAATGGGATTAATTTCTTCTTGCATACTAACAACATTATAGACTAGAATTAAAAAATATGATTTAATAAAAATATCATTATAAAATTTTTTACTTAATTCACACTCCCTTTAAAACTCAATATTAAATTCAATAAAATAAATAGATTTTAATATTATATTATGTATTTTAAAATATATGTGTTTGTTTTTGTATTGGTTCCAAAATGGGTAAATTGAAAACTTTTTAATACACTTTGAATTGTATTTCTCAAAACATTCCACAAGATTAATTATTAAATATTAACAAGATTATTAAAAAATAAGAATTATCAAGATTAATTTAATATAAATACTCCATCCATTAAAAAATATTTTTTATTTAATTTACTATACTTTTGAATTCAATCATTATTTCTAATAATGAAATATAGTTAAACCAATGTCAAATTAGACTGAATGAGTTGAATAAAATATTATGTATTTTTAAAATTTAAGTGTTTGTTCTTTTACTGATTCCACTGCATGTTATCGGATTTTTTTTTAACACAGTTTTAATTTTGAATTGTATTTTTAAAAAATTATACGAATTTTGAAAGGTTATTTTTGTCATTTTATTACAATGGAAAGGTGCAAGAAGCAAAAAGCAATTGCCCACCCACATCCCAAAAGCACTTTTGTCTGGGCTGTTATCCAATAAGCCCAGTCCAATCACATCCATTTAAAAGCCATGACTTTCTTCCGTTGCCGACCTTTTTCTTCTCTCACGCAGTGGCTCACACTGACCATGGAGGTTGCCACAACAGCTTCTAGCTTCGCACTCAACAAGCCCATGTTGGCATTGCCGTCTTCGTCTCGAATCGTAACCCCTATCAGAGCCATGAGCTCCTCCACCTCCTCCGTCAGGACCTCTCTCTCCACCAACTTTGTTGCCCCTTGTGCCGGAATCAGCAGCGCCTATAGCCATTTCTCCGGCCACAAGCTCCGACCCTCCTCCCTTAACCCGGCGTCATTTCGTGGCTCCAACGCCAAACGAGGAGTCGTTACCATGGTACCACTTTCCCACCTTTTTAATCCGCTTTTCACATTCGCGTTTCTGGTGCTAGTTTCGAATTGGATAAGAGATTGGCGATTTGGGGTGAACGCTATAATAGTTTAGAATCTGATTTGGCGTGAATACCCACCATTTGTCTGCGCGTACTGAGATGATTGCCAGTGTGAATTTATAGGTTTAAGGGCTTAGTTTCCAAGCACGCATATGAGGTCGCAGGGTTTATAGTTTTGGTTTTGGTTTTGTAGAATTTATACATTTCGAACTCGAGTTGGGTATAGAGGCGTGGAATTTGACTTTGACGGAGATTGAGAAGTGGTGAGTAGGTTTTCGTGATGACTAAGGTCGTTTTAGAACAGAGTTTTGATGTAATAAATCATGGAATTAAAATGCATCAATGAGTCCTTGACGTGTAAAATTGTTTGTGTGATTTATGTATTATGTGAATAAATCGTATAACTAGTAAAGCACAATAATTTGTAGCACATTACGGCATAATATATGCTATCAATACTATTTATGCAAGCTTTTTTTTTTTTCTTTTTTTTTGTCTTTGGATAGGTTATTCCATATTCAAGAGGAAGTGCATGGGAGCAACCTCCACCGGACTTAGCTTCTTACTTGTACAAAAATCGAATTGTGTATTTGGGCATGTCTCTTGTTCCATCTGTCACTGAGTTGATACTAGCAGAATTTCTTTACCTTCAATATGAAGATGATGCTAAGCCTATTTACTTATACATAAATTCCACTGGGACAACTAAGGTCGGTGATATTTCTCTATTTTCTATTCAGCCTGTCTTCTCCATGAGAAATACTTTCTCACAGCTTGATGTGTCTTGATAACTGATTTATTTAATTTTAAAGCATTTTCCTTATTACTGAAGTGCATATAGCAGGGTTTGCTTGATGTAGAATCACGTGTTGTAAGAGGGAATAGAATATGGAGAGGAAGGGGAGTATGGAGAGTGTGCATTAGAGGAGTGATGGTGAGGTAGATGTGACAGATTAAATTCTGTAACTGCATTAGAAATATAATTGGTTTCATTTTGTAAATGCATTAATTTTTAGGAACTAATAAGGATATTGTTCCCAAGTGTACTGTGCCCCGATAAAAGTCATGATTTTGGGGGTTTTCTTTTTCAAATTATACCTACTTATGCCATAATGTGCTAAGAATTTGCAAGATCTGCTTAATTGTTAAGTTTGCTTATTATTCTGAAACGCATATCAATGTAAATTTTGATAAGTATAATGTTGATGGTAGTTGCGTTACTAGCAATTATGGTGAATAGAGGCATTGATGAGTGCATAGTCCATGTTCTCACTAGATTGTGATATAGTGCACGGAAAATGCAGCTCCAGAGCTATGTTCAAACTAGCCTAACCAGGTTGAGAGCATTTGGCTGGAGGTGGTGGGGGTGTGGGGTTCTGGGTTGGTTTAAGTCTAGGCCCAATACTGTGAGTCTATGTCCAAACTAGCCTAACTTGTTAGGATGAAAGATATCTAAAGCATAACTGATCCATTGAGCCTCACTTTTTTTATACATCATGGCTTATGGATCTTTTTTGACAACCAAAAGTGTTGGAGCCAATAATTTGAGTAAAGGGGACCAATATTGAATAGAAAACATGTTGAAATTATCATCTTAGTACACACGAATGTGCTTAGAAGAGAGGAAATACAATTGTTTCTGTTGTCTAAAATGTAGAAAGTTGATTTAAATATATAGACCCTAATGAGGTGGCCCTAATTAAAGAAATAAGGAAGCAAATCACAAATTAAAATTGTACACAAGCAATCCCCCAATTACTGTAATTTTTCTACTTAATAATCATATCTAATCTTATCATATAGGGTGAGACCATACCGACACTTGTCAATCTAGTTTTCATAGAAACTAAAGAATAATAAGGATGAGTTTTAAACTATTAATCATAAGTTTTTTTTTGGGTTTAGTTTAATGTTTTTATGAGATGCATCGATGCTAGACATCTTCCTAAGACATAGATAATTTAATAATTATTTTAAATAGCTTAGCTAAATTAAATTAATATCAATTAATCGTGTTAGAGATATTGATATATCCTTTCAACAAATGGTACTATATTTCTTTCTGTAGCAGAATGTAGAATTTGCATAATAAGCAGGAAGCTACCCAGTTTTATGAGAATTCATATACAACAATAACAATGGCAAGAACTCAGCCTTATTTTACTAGGAGGTGGCTACATGAATCAATCTGAACTGTTGAATGCTTTCATATCTGACTACTAAAGAACTGCTAATGATTTTAATGAGATTCTAGAATATGGTGTCACAATCTCCATGAAAACATTCATTTGCTTAATAGAATTTTCTTTTGTTCTTTCAGGGAGGTGAGAAGTTGGGTTATGAGACTGAGGCCTTTGCAATTTATGACGTGATGAGGTTATTATCACTATGGTTTCTGTGATCATGTCATTTATTTTCCTTATCTGACATATTTTAGTCTTTTAACTATTCATTTAATTGGGAAAGAAAATGTAACTACTGTCTTTCTTCATTTTCTCTGCTCCACCATGCATTACACGTTGTGGGTTGTAAGTGGAGACATTCTTTAGTTGGCAGTTCATTCATAGGCATTGCGTTCAGATTTTAATAATCAGGAATCCACAAGTCCCTCTGTGCAGTTGTAATCTGAGTGGCAGTAGTACCTACAATAAGTGCCCTTACGCAAGTGTTTTTCCATTGAAAGTGATTATCTATAAAATGTATGAAGGTTTTCAATTGACTCCCAGATTCTAAAATAACTCTTGTCTAAAGTTTTTGTTTTCACCAAGTGTTTCATGATTCATGGAGCTAATATATTCACTTTATGCATGTATCCAGTTTAGAAGTTGTTCTGAGTTTCCTAGGTGTGTTTTGTCTCTGTTTATGATGTCACTAAACTCTGATCTGTATCTGACAATTTTTCCTAAGTTTTGGCTATGCTGCATTCCTTCTCTTTCTGTATTTTGTATTAATATTTCTGCCCTTGGATCTTAACGACATGATGTTAATATCTATAGATTTTAAATGGACATGATTGCAAATCTATATATTTATTATGGAACAAATATATTTACTTTTTCTGTACAATCCTATACTAAACATATTGTCTTTTCAGTCTATAGCTTTTTCCCTTCCTGAAGAATTCCCCATACATGTTTGTGTTTCTATTTATAAATCTACCTTAGTTCTTCTGCTACAGGTATGTCAAGCCTCCTATTTTTACTCTTTGTGTTGGTAATGCTTGGGGAGAAGCAGCATTGCTTTTGGCTTCAGGTGCAAAGGGAAACCGCTCTGCTTTGCCATCATCAACAATAATGATAAGACAGGTTTGTACTCAACCATTTCTTACTGTTACAAACAAAGAGACTGTTTGGTTGAAGAAAAATTTCCTATTCTCATTTTACTTTGTTCCCATTCTCAAAAGTTCACAATTCCATGTTCGAAACTGTTGAAAAAACAAAACAATAAAAAAGTGGTTTTCACTTTTCACTGTTTTATATGCCAAACATTTGAAAACAGGAAATAAACTGAAAATAAGGTGGTCTTTTGGTAATTAAAACTGCAATAAAATACGAAATCAAAATATTTTCTTAAACAAAACAACCCCTAACTATCCCCGAAGCTTATGTTATTGGTGCTAGCAAATGAATACTCCTGTTACTTAGCTTATTGTTTGTCAAGGGTCTTTTATCTTAACATCTTAGCTATGCCTTTTCAATTAGCCAATTGCAAGGTTTCAAGGTCAAGCAACAGACGTTAACCTTGCAAGAAGAGAAGTCAATAATGTGAAGACTGAATTGGTAAGTACTTCAATCTAATTTTATATAGTTAAGCTTTAGTTCTAATTGATAATTACTATCTATGAAGATATTTGGACCAGTACATAATTTTGTATTTTTAGTCCCTTTAAAATGCTGAAATGTCAGTTTGTTGAGCAGTAGCCAGCCAGACATTGGTGGTTCCCTTCAACCACAAAGCATGAGATTATGAATTGTTTTGCATTTGGGCATTTCAATGGACTTCTGCATTATTTTTTATTTAATATGGACTCTTAAGAATGTACGTTGTACCCATTATCTTTAACAAAGGCTGCCTGAAAAATTATTGTAGCAACTCACATGCATGATGTTTAATTTTTTAAAGGTTAAATTGTATGCAAAGCATATGGAAAAGTCACCTGAGCAGATTGAAGCTGATATTCAGCGTCCAAAATATTTCAGCCCTAGAGAAGCTGTTGAGTATGGTATCATAGACAAGGTACTTGCCATCAGACATTTTTGTTTTATCATTAATTTTATTCGAAAATAAAATAAACTTTTTTTTTAGCAGGTTATATACAATGATAGGGGGTCTGAAGACCGTGGAGTTGTTTCTGACCTTAAAAAGGCACGGCTTATTTGACAGTTGGGATTTAAATTGCTATATTCTTGGAGCTCAGGTAAAGCACATCTTAAGTCATGATTGTATTAAACAGTTTCAGAATTGATTTAATTTTAATGTTATCATAGAAGAAGATTAACTGCCCCATTTTTGCCAACAACTGTTTTTTAATTCTTATGGTTCTTTATTATTATTTTGCTGGGTTGTTTGTGATGGTCAGAAATTAAATGCACGTAAATCTAGCATTGATCAATTAAGCAATCACCCTTGGTTATGATATTTTCCATTCGTACTTGGCTTTAGGCTTCTTGTATTTGCCATTGTAAAACAGGAATTGTCTGGCGTTGTATAATGATTACACCGACCATGAGTTAGTGTTTCATATTTTGTGTATAAAGGTCCTCAAAGCCCTTTGTTTGAACCTTTTTGGAATATAATGCTCTCAATTAGCTTGTCACTTGTAATGAGCTAAATAGTAACCCTTGTTTGACAGCGACATCCACAACCTCTGTAGTTTCTATTCTGTTCTATTCCACTAATAAGTGCAATCATAACCAGGTTCTCTCAATTAAGGGAGCGATTACCTTTTCATGTCTACACGGTCCATGGAAAATGTTTTCCTCACTTCCTACTCCGAAATTATAAAGAAATATATTGGAAAGGATGAAGATCCTCTACAATTAAAAGAATAAGTGCATAAATATAAGCCATGAAAATACTTTATTTATAACAGAATGAAAAAAAATATGAAACATTGATTTAATCTGTGGATTTGAACTGCATGGTGGTGCAGTTACTTCTGAGCTTTAGAGAGTCCAAATCCTAGGAAAAGAGACATGTATGGTCATGCTAAGGTTTCTGCTTGTGCTGTTTGGTATACTTGTTTATATCTTGCATTTGCATTACAAATATTTCACGAATTGCCATTAGTGTCAAGAGACTATGACTGAATTGATGAATAGGCCCTTTTGTATTTGGGCGGATTTAGTTTCATCTTGTTTGTTGGCTTTCTTAACAACACGTGTTGAAGACAGATGTAAGGAAGATACAAGAATATGCAACTTGCACATATGCTGGTCCGTTAGTCTTGGTTATGTGTTTTTTTGCATTATCTAATTTAAGTGGCCCGTCCCTTTGATGGAACGTTTTGTCAAAATTGATGGCCATTACAGAGATTCTAGTTTTTTGCTTTTTAAAACAATATCTATCCCCCTTTCTTTTCTTTTTCGGCAATGATTTCTTTTACGAGTAAAAAGTAAAGTTAGTACTTTACTGTGTAGCAAAAATGGTGATTGTTTTCCTTGTATTCCAATCAAAAGCATTTTCTGCGTGGTCTGATGTATTTCTGATGAAATTGTTCCTGATTACAGGAATTCGTATGTGTGTAATTGGTATAGTTTTTGTGGCTTCCTTATTCTCTTGCATATGATGCTTTCTATTCTTAGTAAGTTCTTTGTTTATCATAGAAGTAGATCAGCTGAAATGGAAGAATATCAGCACTGAAATTGGACAACTGCCAAGCAAGTAGCGGACGTTGTAGTCTCAATTGTTAATACCATAGATTATATTTCCCTCCCCCAACAATAGGCTGTTGTGTTTTCTAATAGGTTGTACACATGATTGTATTCTGGATCATTCTAATTCAAAATGTTTTTGAACGAAGCTCGATTACGATTAATGGCAATGTTTGGCCAATTTGAAGAACAGTATCACAAATTTTTAAACTATCAAGAAATTTGTGATACTTGTGGGAAAACGGGGGCAAACCTATTAAAGATGTATTTATTTCAGTCGGTGTATTAAGTATCAATTTAATTTAATGTATTATTTTCTTAAATTTACCTACTAGAACAATATATGAAAATCACATTGATGTTGGTCGAGTGTAGGCAAATCATTTGGTTAATTAAGTAAAATGCATTTAGTTTACGTTAGTTTTTTTTTGTCTAAATGTTATTTTTATGAAAACAAAAAAATTATAGACTAAATTAATCATGAGTAGAGAAAGTTATGTTTCATTGAAACATTTGTGGTGTAACAAAAGAAACGAGCTTAAAAAGAATTGAATTATTGAAAGCACTATCCTCTGGTCCTGTTTGTAAGGCAACTTTGTGTTGAGAATCCTGTTTGTTGGAAGTTTGGTGTCGGGAGGAAGGAGTGACCAGATGGATGGCTGTACTGCCCCATCTCATAAGTAACCAATACGCACTTTAGGTTTGTTTGGTTGGACAAATCAAGACGAAAATAATCTAAAATAGTTCTTTTTCTACAGCATTATCTCTTCACCACTTCGCTAAAATTAGGGTCAACTTTATCACTTAATTTAACTTTTTTTTTTAGATTTAGTTTTTATATATTTTTAAATCTAATCTAATTTAATCCATTTTAATCGGATTATGTTAAGTTAAATTAATTATTTCACAAATTTTGAAAATATTTTTTATTAAACCTTAATTTTTAAAATATTTTTGTTAGAATTTTTAAAACATAGGTTATATTAATTAATATTTTTAAAAATATAATATTTAAAAATATATATTTAGTTAATATAATAATTAAATAATAAAATTATTATTATTATTATTAATGTTAATATTATCTAATAATTTTTGTTTAATTGAATTATATTATATCTTATGTTAAATATACAAAACCTAACATTAAACTTGTAAGAGATTAAATTAAGTTAGCTTGGTCGTAATAAATAAAAATTCAATCTAATCGTATTGATGAAATAGGTTTGGATTAAGTATTCAGTTTATCCAATTAAATAAACACTTTTAAATAAAACATTACAAAAGAGGGGGAAAAAAATGAAATGATAGTTTCATAGTTATTTGTGTTTTTTAAAAAAAAAAACAGTTTTTTGAAGTATAATAAATTTTGAATGCTCAAATGATTGCTAAGTAAAGTAGAATTTTGTTTTGGAAAAAGGATTATTTAAAAAAAATATACTAAAAGGTAAGAAATGAAAAAAGCCTACCTATATTTCTTGCATGGTTTTAGTTGAATGGAGAGAAAGAGGAAATAATAAAAAAATTTAGATTTTTTTTCCCAAAAAGGTGAAATTTGGGAATTTGAATTATCTGACTTTGTGGTGAGACCGTTAGAGGCCTTTTTTTTTTTAATTTTTGATTTTTTAGTTTTAAAAATTAAAAAAATTATTTGATAACGATTTTATTAAATAATTTTTAAAAATTAATTTCACTTTTTATTTTTTGAAAAAAAAAGATAAAATGTATTTTTTTTTATAGTTTACTACTTTCATGTTTCACTGATAATTCCTGTATCAATTATTAAAATCATTTTTTAATTTTAGTAATCACTTTATTTATTTAAAATAAGTTTTATAAATTAGAATTATGAAATAAATGTTTTAATTTATTTTTAAAAATAGTTTTAGAATAAATTTTTTAAAGTTGATATCTAAAATTACTTTTAAAATATGAAAAAAATTGAATTAAACAAGTAATTAATGTTTTAAAGTTTTTTTTAATAGATTAATGCTTAAAGTTACACTTTCGTTTATTTAATGAGATCTGATTTAGAAAATAATAGTAATGTTAATGTATTTTTTTATAATATTTTATTGTGTTTTTATGTGGTTAATTACTTTTTTAATATGATCAATGTATTAAAGTTGTAGTTAGACAATGATTTGGTGGAAAATAGTTTTAAAAACAACGTTAATTAAATGATATTTTTTAGAATACTTTATTTTATTTTATTATAATATTGTTTGTGTATTCATTAAGTTTTTTCTTGTATTTTTATTGGCAATAATCACTACAAGAAAATCGTGTATTATCGACGGATTTGTATCCGTCTGAAAATAATTATTACCGACGGATATAAAATATTTGTGGAATTTGATCTTACCGACGGATATATCTCGTCGATAAAATAATAATTAGTTACCGACGGATATATCCGTCGATAAATCCGTCAGCAATTGACAGATGAATTTACCGACGGATATATCCGTCTGTAAATCCGTCGATAAATTAATAATTATATATCCGTCGGTAAATTCATCTGTAAATTACCGACTGGATATTTTCGTTCAGTAAATTATCAATTAGTAAATATTCAACTAATTAAAAAATTAAATATTTTTTATTTAATAATTTCATTTAATCATAATTAGATTAATTTATAATAATTTCTTAAATTAAATAATTTTAAAAAATAAATATTTAATTATATATAAATATATAAAAATATATAAAAACATATAAAAATATTTAATTGTATATAAATATATAAATATATATATATATAAATATATATATATATAAATATATACATATATATAAATATATATATATATATATATATATATATAAATATATAAATATATTTGTATATAAATATAATTTATTTGTAAATTATTATAAAAAATTCTAGTAGCTTAGTGGTTGAAGTATTCAGACCTTCTCATTAATATGATAATAATTGAAGCTTATAAAAATGTAATAGGGAAAAATAATTAATAATAAATAGGTATTTGACCGTCGGTATTAAGGAATTTTGTATGTTATAAAATTCTTTTAATATTACATCTTTGTTAGTATTCGTTACATATTTGAGTAAATTAAAGTGTTTTATTTCATTACTTATTGCTTTGTTATTGAATTTTTATTTAGCTAGTTTCACAGGGCCATCAGTTTATTCATGTTTGACAAGAGAGTAAATTTTAGCAATGGAGCATGTTGTTTATTGACACCAGATTAACCATGTCTCAATTTTGAAACACACCAACAACTGTGGATTTCAATGTTTTAGGATAAGGAGAAGAAGAAAACCTAAATTAATTAACATGTAAAATGAAAATTAGTAAAATTTGTCTATTTCAAAATTAAATACGATTTTACTTACTTAGTTTTAATTTTGAAAATCAGATCCAACTACCGGTTCAATCAGTTTTATCAGGAATCGGTGAAGTTATTTTTAAATAATTAAATTTTAATTAAATGCGACAAAATCGATAAATTTTTAGAAATAAAATTTTAAAGATGTTTTTTAATATTTTTTTTATATAAAAGATATATATATATATATATATATGTATTAAATTTATTTTCTTATTTTTTTTATATTAATTTTAAATAATAATAATTTTATTATATTTTAAAAAAATATTATTATTAATAAATTTATTGTAACATAAAAATATTATTTTATTAAATTTGATTGAATTTTAGTTTAAGAAAAACGAAAACTTCACTCAGGAATGAACTGCAAGTAACATGGACACGCGTAGTGTATGTAGTTTAAGTTGAGGAGGGAGTGGGTACTTGGCACCCATAAAATCGTTAATAACTTGGCGGCAGGCACAGACGAAGGATCTGTTATTATTATTATTATCACCACTTCAACACTTTTTATACCATTTTTAATCATTTCCTTTGACCTAAACTAGCCCCAGTAATTCAATTACAATTTGTGGACTCGTAGCATGCCATGGGTGGGTGCGTTACAACCATCAACGTGGCTGCTACACATTTTATAAGTGCCTCTGTAAATGTTATTAACTAATACAAATTATTTCAACTCAACTCAACTCTACTTTTTTTTTATTATTAAATAATACACAAATTAAACTTTATTAATATATATTTTGAAGACCGAGTTATTCTTTATGATTCTGAAAATGGGAAGTAGAGCTGCAAGTGCATGGAGCATCCGAGTGTTAGGATCAATATTTTTAACATCCTCGTAATAAATAATTGAAGATATATTAAAGGTTAATTAGGATTTAATTGAATTTAATAAATAATATTTTTATAATATAATAAATATTTAATAGTTTTATTGATAATAATAGTTTTGTAAAAAATTATTAAAATTATTATTACGATCATAATAAGTTATAATAAAATTTATAAAATATATTTAAAATAAATAAATAAACTGATCTTTAAATTTTTTATTATTTTTCGACCAAAAGTTTAATTGATTTTTTAGATTTTAAATTAAATAACTGGTTTCATATCAATTAAATTAAAATTTGATTATTTTAAAAAAAATTAGATTGTTTTCAGTTGAACCAATTAAACCAGGGTATCAGATCCCATTTTCAAAATAATGTTTTGAGGGAACCAAAAGTTAGGCATTCCAGCATTGTGATATGTGACAGTAAATTAGTTTGAATATTATAAGAGGCATGGTGATTCATATTGCTAGGGTCTAAATGTAGACATCATTATCCCAATCCAGGTCCTCCTCAAGTGGGAGAAAAAGTGGAATACCACCACCTCTGCTATCTAGACCTTAGCTCATTACTATAAATATGACCCCATATCTTCGCTTCCTATCTCATAAACCATTCTATCCTCAATACTCTTTCCTGTTTCATATACTTCACTGCATTCATCATTTAGATATGGAACTTAGCCTTAAGCACCAACTTGGCCTTGCTTGTGTCACACTACTTTTACCTGCACTCTGTATATCACAGGACACTTTTACGTGCTCCAGAGCAACATATTATGGTAGCCCTGATTGCTATGGGAATCCAAGTATGAGCTTCTTCTAGTTAGCTACCTCTATAAACCCATCACATTGTTTGCATGTTTCAACATTCATCTTCATACTTTTCAAACAAAAAGTTCAATTGATATATAATTTACTTCGGTCACGCATGCTCCCCCCTTGGAATGCTTTTTAGGCGTAAAATGTGCACTGGTGATATTATACTGCTTTTTTGAACTGTGTCCCCGCGTTGTTTCAACATTGACATTATATTTAACGTTTATATTATTTTGTTTTACCAGTTACGAAAATTTTTTAGACTCGTATTTCAAGAACACGTCTATGGAAGTTGTAAGAAAAATTGTTAATTCATATTATTGCAGCATGAGACAGCAAATAATGGTCAATTCACATTAATTATATTTCAGAGGGAGCTTGTGGCTTTGGCGAATATGGAAGAACGGTGAATGATGGAAGTGTGGCAGGGTCAAGGCTATGGAGGAATGGAAGCGGCTGTGGTGCATGCTATCAGGTAATTTTCTTTCCCTTAGTGATAACATTGAAACAAAATATTTGTTTTACCCAAAGAGAAAAAAAAGATTGCCATGTATTTGCGCCAATATAATCTATGATGATTCAGGCTAGGTGCAAGATACCGCAATATTGCGATGAAAATGGAGCATTCGTGGTGGTGACAGACTATGGTGAGGGAGACAGAACAGACTTCATCATGAGCCCGCGCGCTTACTCGAGATTGGGACGCAACGCAGATGCATCTGCAGAGTTGTTCAAATATGGTGTAGTGGATATTGAATACAGAAGAGTCCCATGTAGTTACACTGGCTACAATGTCGTGTTTAAGGTACATGAACACAGCAGAAACCCTGACTACTTTGCTGTCGTGGTTCTCTATGTAGATGGAACTTACGATGTCACTGCTGTTGAGTTGTTTCAGGTATATACGTATATTTTGATCAGTTACACTTACATGCAGAGAGTTAATTATAAGCACAACAATTTCTAAATATAGACTTTGACATGACAAATTGGCGGAGTTACTTTTGTTTTTTGGCACCAAAAAAGAAGACTAAATATGATTGATGAGATGATCATGATTTTGCAGCAAGACTGCCAAGAATGGAAGCCATTGCGCAGGGCCTTTGGGGCAATGTTTGACTATAGCAACCCACCAAGTGGTGAAATGTACCTGAGGTTCCAAGTTAGTGGCAGTGCAGGGATTTATTGGGTTCAGTCAAGGAATGCTATCTCTAGTGATTGGAGGGCCGGAGCAACATATGACACCATGGTGCAGCTTAATTAGGAAGAAAAAAGCACTTGGAGATCCCAGGAACAGATTAGAATTAGATAGGCACTAGTATTCAATTTGTTTCGGTTTAGTTAGTGTCAATGTTTGTGTGTACTGCTGCTGTATGTGTCTCTGCTTTTGGGGACTAAAATAATGGGAATTCATGTACTTTCCATCTTAGATCACATGAATTTGAACAGAATAAATGTACCACTCTTTCTCCTTTATTCTATCCCGTTACAACTATTGCCCTGGTGTTCTTAAAATGGAACTGATATTGGTAACGCATATGACAGTTTGCAAAATAACGTAGCCCAAATTTTCTTGATCCAGCAAGATCACCAAAGTGTATGTCACTCTTTTTTCACAATTTTAATTACCGAAATGTAACTGTAAACTATAATTTGAATTAAAAAATTGTTCCAATAAAAAATATGCATCTTGTCACTTAAAATATACATGAACAATAATTAATGCATTTTTAGGATTAATTTAAGTAGTGTCTTCAAAAAGAATGGATCAAAATTGTTTAATCCTTGATTTTTAAGAAAAAAAAAAGATTTTTATATTTAATATAATACAACAAAACAGTAGTTATAGTCATAAGAAAAATAATAAACTAACCAACTTAAGCAATAAGAAGGCATATAAATAAAACTATTAAAGAAACCGTACATTTGAACTAAGAAAACATGTAAAGAAAGTAGTAAAATACAGAAAATAAAAAAAAATTGTAAATCAAAAGCAACAAATGAAAATACTTAAATTTAATTTTATGAAAGTAAAAAGAAAATAACAATAAAAATAAAATTGAAAATAACAAAAATAATGGATACGTCAACTTCTCCGTGTGATTATCGTTAATGCCAAGATCAAAATCAAACCATAAAATAAATATATAAGAGCTCTAAACATTCATAATCCAATAAAATTTATTGATCTCATTCAAGGTTTAAAATGAAATAATTTTAAGTATATTGATGATTACGAGGTATAAAAGTAAAATTTAAATCATAACAAACAAGTTTTAATAAGTAAATCAATCTTAAAAATAAATTAAAAACAAATTACAACATCAAAAACCAAAAATAAAAGTAAAATAAAAAATGGATGAAGAGATATAAAAGAAGAAACATGTTTGATGTCAAGCTTAGTGAATTAATAAACTTCACAATAAAATTCGTAATAAGAATCATACCGAAAAATAAACTTATTCTAAGAACAATGATATAAAAGAGAAAAAAACTATAGAAAAAATCTAAAATATAATATTAAAAATAATTTATGTCTTTTATTTTTCTCTATGCAATAACAAATACCATTCTTGAGGAGCAAGAACCTAAAAATTGGTTAGCATAGTATGCCTAATCCTTCTCATCTATAGTGATTAAAATGGAAAAAGAGAAACTCTGTTTTTCTTCTCTTGAGAAAAGTAATTTGCATCGGCGAACAAGGTATTGTAGCAGGCTTACGTTCCATTATGGCTGCATGGAGTGGAGTTTGCAGAAAAAGAAGATGAAGAATATAGTGGCAATCTGCCTCAAACTGACTTTTTCTTTCTACAGGTGAAGGGTTAGAAACCACACTCCACTCCAAGCTGCCTGCTATATGCACAACATCTATTCATTCATTCTTTCACATCTTTTCCGTCGCTTTATTTGACTTTTCTACTGCATTTTGCACAAAATGACCTTCACTACATCACAGTTTAGACCAACAAGTATAGCCTCTGTTCCATGTTTCACATAACATAAGAAGCTCTCAAAAAAATGATGCGCATATTGAGGTAGCACCGGCAACTATTACCCCGTAAACACCTTTAACCGATGATGAATAGATAATTCCACTTAAATAAACAATCATTAAACAACTATTTTTATGAATATATTCTTCTTCTTCTTCTTCTTTTCTCTTTTTGTTTAGTTTCTGAAATAGTCAAATATTCGATATGTGAAAAGGTTAGGGGTTATTTAGTGGGTAATGATCGCTTATTTACTTTGTGAATAACTTGTACTTGCTTATTTGGATACGCCTCTTCTGCTTTATTTTGGATAGAATGCACCACTACAAAGTGAAAGTCAAATACTAAGGAATAGTCAATTGATTTGTGCCCATTGGTTCCAACTTTTTTTATTTGGTTATATGCATCGCAATATTATGATTTGGTTAAAATCCAAACTCCATTTAATAGCAGTATAGATGACTTTAAACAGAGGCTTTTTAATAGGAGTTTCCCAAAGGAAACCACTATTTTTTATTCCTTCACCATCAAAGATAGCAATTTCATAAGGAATTGCCATTTTTAAGGCACTATTGTAACTTGCTCTTGTTTTGGTGTCATAATAGCAAAACATATTCAATCTCCCTATTTTAAGAACCTCAAGTATATATTCTTGCCTACACCAAATTAAATTAAGAAAGTGTAGTAAGTGAACTATATTGAGAGAAAGAAAAGTAAGCCACAACATTAAGCAGTGGCGGATCTTCTTGGGAGCTGAGGGGGGCCGTGGCCCCTCCAAAGTTTTGTAACTCGCATGTAATTTATGATTTTGGCCCCCCCAAACTTAATGAACATTTAATATATTTACATGTTTGTTTACAATTTTATGCTCTCAGTCCCTCCTCAGTTTTGTAACTCTCATATAATTTATTATTTTTTCCCCGCAAACTTAATGATCATTTAATATATTTAAGTATATATCTACAATTTTATCCTTTTACCCTTTCATCTTCTTTTTTCTTCTATATTTATTTATTATTTATTAATAATATATTATTTGGCTCCCTTAAGATCAATGTTCAAGATCCGCCACTGACATTAAGAATTAGAAAAACTAAGGAAAAGTAAGAATTTTTTGTGCAACTCAAACTGTGGCTTACAACCAACACATATCGTTTCTGATAACCATTTCCTCAAATTAACTAAAATTGAGAACAAATAGGAAGATATGGAAAAAGATAAAAAAAATGAAGATGTTATAATTGTGTTAGATTGATAAATGGAGAAAGAATCATTATAAAGGATTGAAATTCATTAACATGAATAAAATTTCTTTAGTTTAAAACAAGAAAAGCTCACAACTCGCAAAACAAATGCTTTAATTTTAGTTTGATGAAAAAAGTTCTTTACAAGCTTTAATCTATGAACATTTAATCTATAAGTTGACTTGGGTCTTCTTTCTTAACTTCATAAACTATTGCATTGAGTTGAGTCATTTTGATAATTCCTCTTCAAATTTTTGTTTCCTTGATCTTATCATAGGTCCTTTCAACTTAAACAATTTTTTCTGAAACTCTTTGTCCCCTTAATTCTTAGTCATTTTTTAGTAGCTCTTTTATTATACCTTTTTATCTTAAAAAGAATTTGAATTTGGATAATAAAAAAATATAAGTCATTCATATTAAAAATACGCAGCCACAAGACAATGGTTTGACATTATTTATTATCAAATTGGTTAAAAAAAAAAAGGCCCTTTCACTAGTTTCTTTAAACAATATTACCGCAAATTCAACGCATGACTCATACAAAGAATTTTCCATTAGAACAAATGAATAGAAATGTTCAATTAAAATAAATACAAAGTAAAAATTGTCAAATAGTTTTAAAATTTACGAAGTTATTTACAATCACTAACAGAAACAACAATAATAACAAATACTTGCCTTAACGTTAACGTTATCATAAACTACTGATTTTTACTTTTTATACAATTATTAGATTATTCTACTTGACCTGATCAAGCCCTAAGCAATTATAATTTGTTGTTCTGTTCGTACAAGTGATGAATCTGTGGGTTCATTATAACAGAATTAAACTTTCCCATCATATATTTTTTTGGCAGCAGTAGCAGACCTTGAATTATAATCATCCCATTCTATATATATATATATATATATATATATATATATATATATATATATATATATATATATATATATATATATATATATATATATATATATATATATATATATATAAAGAAATAATCAACCATAATTGCGTGTACGTTTTCATTTATCTATTTATATTATGGTATTTAAACTAATTTTATTATTCCATGCTTTCTCATTTAAATTTTATCTGAAGTACAGATATAATTTGTGCCAAAAAACAAAAGCATTCAAGATTTAGTGATTAATACACTTAAGTGAAATAATTATCAGTAAATTATGTTTTTAATCTATTGAAATTTTGTCAGGCTTAAGATAGAGTTTGATAGAGAATAAAATAATAAAGAGTGAGAAAAAAAATAGAAATAAAAATGATATTTAACTCTTTAAAATAAACACCCATACTACTTTTCGTAATGGGTTTGTTCAAAGGTTATTAAATAATACTGACAATTACTTTTTATTTATTTTCTTTTCAACATTTTCGACTTCATCAATAAAGAGTGCACATTTAGAAGGATTGTATAAAAAAATATATTACTATAATCCGACTGGATAGAAAAATCTCGTGGAAAGTGTAAGACAAATTTAAATATTAATCCACAATTAACAATTAACATGCTCAATACTTCATACTTATATATCACAAGCCGTCACGGATGTTTTTGGAAGCTGAGCGAGTCGGTGGTATCAAAGTTTTATAACTTTCATTTAGGTTATGATTTTGGGTACCCAAACTTAATAAATATTTAATATATTTACTTGTATATTTACAATTTTATCTTTTTAGTTCCTCCTTAATTTTGTAATTCTCATGTAATTTATGATTTTGTCTCTCTCAAATTTAATGATCATTTAATATATTTAAATATATATTTATAATTTTATTTTTTTATTATTTTATCTTCTTTCTTTTTTTATATTTATTTATTAATAATATATTATTTGACCTAAAATGAATGTTGAATATCCCCACTGATCACACGACCCCCAAATATAAAAAATATAGAAGAGTGTATTATTTTCACTCTTCAATCTTATCCACAAATCCACCTTTATCCTCTCAGAATTCAGAGAATTGGAAAATCAACCTCGTTTCATTCAACCAGAACCACGTGGTATCGATACCCCAACATGTATCTCAAGCACGCATAATTTTACTTTTTCTTAAGGTACAAGAAAGATATTTTCTAACCCCAGAATGAAATAGTCTTGCGTGGTCTAGTGGAGAGAAAACGTGTGCCTTTTTAATTGAAGTCAAAAATCATTTTTAACCATCCAAAACTTATAATAACTAAACTATATATTATACATCAAATGCTTCATTTAGAAGAAAAATTCATTATTTTTGAAGGCTAAATATAAATGATCATTTATATAATTGTTTTTAAAGGTTAAATAAATAGGTAGAAGTTGATATTACAAGTACTTTGCAGTGGAGTAGTAGGTGCATGGACATGGGTTGATCTTCCCAACGAATGTTTAAAGACCTTTTTCAATCTCAGGTATAAATTAGTTCAGATATATTATGCGTAATCAGGGACCCTTATCTCTTTGATCCAGTGGTCCCAATAGCATATACAATAGACGCCAAGGTGGAGAAAAAGTGGCCTATATCACAATGTTATATATATATCTATAAAACTAAGATTGTACTATAAATACATGACCCCATATCTTTGTTTGCTATCTCAAAGCCTTTCTTTCATCCCATTTTCCTATACTTTACTAGTTTATCGCATATCCCTCCTATCTTCCCCGAGTATTTAATTTGTCATTTAGACATGGAGCTTAGCTTTAAGCACCAACTTGGACTTTTTTGTGTTATACTGCTTTTTCCTGCAATGTGTCACTGCCAGGAATATTATACTAAATCCAGAGCAACCTTTTATAGTACCTCTGATGGCTATGGGACTCCAAGTACGATCCTCTTATGTGCTTGTAAAAACTAGTTTATGCTGCAAACACAATATGTTTTATTATAAATATACTTATACTTTTTCACTGTTCCCATTTTTCCTTTATTTTTTTTATCACTGCACATTATACCTATTTTATCAATCTCTTGACTTTTTCTTCTTCTGTTTCTCTTCACATAAAGATTAATCAATGATGAAATGATTCTAGACTATCTAATTTAAAGTAGTTTTGGAAGGAAGGAGGAACACTTTGCATACTTCCCTAATGACCTTATTGAAACTAACTAAACATATTGTTTTTGTCTAGCAAATATATTTAAAGAATGTACTGTTAAGATGCATGATTCTCTTTGAAGATGTTTTTTACATTTAAGATACAAAGTGATCACATAACAAAATGATATATGTATATTTTAGCGGGAGCTTGTGGATTTGGGGAATATGGAAGGAAGATGAATTGGTATGATGGAAGAGTCGCAGGGGTCTCTGGGCTATGGAGGAATGGAGTTGGCTGTGGTACATGCTATCAGGTACGTACTTTTTCTTAATTTCCATAATTTAATTTCTTTTCAATAACTTATGTTCGTAATAAGAAACTGTCAAACATTAGAATAATGACACGGAAAAAACTATTTGTTTGACCAATTATAATTAGGATGTTGAAAACTTATGTTCTTTTCAATGACTTATGCTTGCAAAATGATGATTCAGGTGAAGTGCCTAATAGAAAACTTATGCGATGAGAATGGAGCATACTTGGTGGCAACAGATCAGGGTTATGGAGACAACACAGACTTCATCATGAGCCCACGGGCCTTCTTAAAACTGGGACGTGATCAAAGTGCTTATGAAGAGCTTAAGAAATACGGTACAGTGGATATTGAATACAAAAGGGTTCCATGTACCTACACTGGCAACGTCTTGTTCTATATCAAGGAAACTAGCAGCAACCCTGGTTACTTTGCTTTGGTCATTCTCAATGTAAATGGAATAAACGACGTCACTGATGTTGAAATCTGGCAGGTATAAGACCTTTGAAATCCCTTTAATTACTTGTATATCTTAAGAGTAAATAATAGGATTAAAATTTGATCATTTGAACGGGTAAAATGGTGCAGGCTGGAGAGTGGAAGGCACTTAACAGGAACTATGGAGCAGTGTTTGACTTTCCCAACCCTCCCAGTGGCGACATCCGGTTGAGGTTTAGAGTGAGTGGCATGTCTGATTGGGTGGACCCCAAGATTGTGATACCTAGTAACTGGAAGCCTGGAAACACCTATGTCACCGAGGTTCAGCTTAAATAGAAGAAGAATCCAGGAATATTACAAATAATTGGCACTACTATTCAGTTCGTTTCTGATAATGTGCCATCCAATATTCTGCTGTCAAAAGGGTTTAGAATAAAGGGAGATTCATGTACTTCCCATTTAAGATTACATGTAATATGAATCAAATAAAATAACTGTCTTCTTCTTGTTAACATATGTGTTTGGGATAATTGTTTCATTCATGTTTAGTTTAGCTTACAAGTATTAAAATCAAAGCCAAATATTATCAATCATAAATTTATTACAACAAAATGTTTAAATTTTACATAAAAAGTTTAAAACATAATTAAATTTTAATTTCTTATATGTAATTAAATTTAAACTTATTACTTAAAAGAAAATTATAGTTTGATAGGTTGAAAAATATAAGAAGGAAATTTTTTATATAAACAATTATAACAATAAATAAAAACTTTAAAAATTATAATGGAGTAAAGTTCTTTAAGTAATTTTTTTAAAATTCATATAATTCGTTTATCTCATTAATTGAGTCTAAATTGTGTGATTTGATGAAAAATATTTATTCTAATTTATTTTAGACACTAATTTACATGGAAAAGATTTTATATTTATTATGTAATTAAAATACTAATTAGGTAAAAAAGTGACTTAAATTTGAATTTAAAAAATGGTAAAAAAAATTATCCCCATAAACTAAAATTAACTTTTTAATTTACTATGTCACAAAAATAATTCAATGTTATATATATATATATATATATATATATATATATATATATATATATATATTATAACCAAAATAATCTTAAATTTATAAAAGAAAAAATAAAAATAGTAAAATATTTATTCTTTATAAAAAAATTATTTACTTACTATTTTTAGTTAATATCTAATAAAAAACATACAAATTAACTACAAAATTACTATAATATTGGTTGTAACCCAAAATAAGTAGTTAGTTAACTAAAAAAATCCTATATTTGTATGTAATTAAAAAAAAAGATATTCTTTAGCTAATTTGTATAGTAATATATTATTCAATGTTTAACTATATTATTTGCATAATAATTTTGTAGAATATGCATAGCTAAAAATTATCCCATATCTATAACAGTTTAAAAATGATTTCCTAGTTAATTCCCAACTAATTCTTAGCTAATTATTAACCTAAAATTCCTAAGTAATTTTAATTTTAAATTTGTAAATCAATTTTACTCAATTCAAGTAGTATTTGTTCAAATTAATTTTTTGTGCGTAATTTTATAGATTGGGAGGTCAATCCTAATGAATCAATATTCATAGATAAGATCTAATCCATAACCTGATTTCTATCTTATAACAAGAAATTATATCCAATCGTGAATATCATAGAACAATGTTCCTAATACTCCATCCATGTCAGTATTTGCATCAACCAAATTTGATACTTAACATATGCTTCATATAATTATTATTCTGTAAGTGTATATCTATAATTTTTTATTCTTCAAAAGAAAAAAACTAAATGTCTCTACACACAAATGTAGACTAATCTCTATGTTAATACTACTCTCATTAGATTTGATGTGTTGTTGTTAGTCTCAGTTAAATTATAGTCTTATCCTCAAATATTATAGTTTTGGAGTCATTGAACAAAAATAAAATTGGCTCCAACACATCCATTTTGAAGTGTTTGAACAAAAAGAAGACATTTTAACATTTATAGCTTCCTTATATAACTTCTTTTGTAGGAGATAAATTGTGGGAGCGACCTAAAACTTCTGACAATAAAGTAGCCATTATTTAGGGTTGTGACTTCTAAAGATTTTCCTCTTCTTTGAACCAAATAATATCTTTATTCATACTTTTGAATCAATAAAAGGACATTTTAAAGAATCGTATCTGCATTAATAATTTGGTTCTTAAAAAACCTGTAAGTTTTCCAATATTTTTTGTTTTCTATCTTAGAAACTTGTTAATTTTAACTCTTTCAGCTACAATTAACATAAATTACAGAAAACGTGAATTTAATTTAATCAAATATTTAATTAACTTTGTTTCTTAAGTGATTAATATTAACTAACTATGATAAAATGTGCATATAATCATATTTATTTATTTTTAACTACTTATAGAATAAAATTAATCATATTTACACATATAATTAATAACTATTAATCTGCCTAATGCTAAACTTAACCCTACATGACAATATTATTACTCCTGCATTAATATATTCTGGTTGACCTTGTATGGTACTAGAATAGCTTGTATTAATTATCATACAACTTGGATAAGGCTATTAAATAATGAAATTAGATTAGAAAACGTTAGTTGCTGAAAGCAATTCCTTGTTACTTTTGCTTGGATAATTGAGACATCTGAACCAATTTTCAAACATGCAATTTTGTATAATTCTTGATCAAGTTGGATTGAAACTATATATACCCAAATTTCTACAATATCCATCACACTTAAACAGTAGATTTTGCTATTTTCAAAAGCAGTACACAGTAGTACACAGAACCTGAATTATTTAACCTAATTTAAAGAAACACTTACTAAAACAGGGAATAGAACTATACACCTGCACTAAGTGATCCGAATTTTTAGGGTTCTATTACGTGTATTTCTGTTATATTATATGTGTATATTTTTATTCATGTAATTTATGTATATATATAGAGTAAAAATATTACAAAATATCAAATATTAATAATATTTCACTCATCATTGTCTAAATCAAAATAATAATTTAATACATTTTTAATTTTTCTCTTAAAAGATAATAAATCTCTTAATACCTAATTTAAATAAAAGATAATAAAGTAATATCATTCCTTACTTTAATATCTATTTATTTGAATTTGATATTCTTTCTTTTATTTTACTTATAATTTTTCTTCCTTTTTTATTTGTACTTCTTGTCATCTTTCTTCTTGTATGAGATTATCTTCATCTCCTTTGTACTTTTTGTATCTCATTTTCTTCATCAAAGTATTTCTTCGTTTATCAACTTCATCCCCTTTGTTTCTTTCAAACTTCATTGAAAGTTGAAAACGATTTCTTCATCTACATCTTTATTTTCCTCATTAACATCAAGTTCCTTCAAAAAATATTTTTCATGTTTTTTCTTTGACTTTTCTTTTATATCCTCGTTTGTAATCAATTATTCTTTTATCAAATCTAAAGTGAAACTTTTTCTTTTCATGTGAACTTTGAATATTTCTAAGTTATTTTGTATTTTTAATTACACAAAGTTTGTGTTCAAAAAACACATTATAATTTTTCTCCAATAATTCAGCAACACTTAACAAATTATGATTAATATAAAGAACATATAAAACATAAAAAATTAATTTGATACTCGAATGACTTTTAACTGCAATTGTTCTTGTACTTTTCACATTCATTTCTTCTCCATTACCGATTCTCACTTTAAAAATATGTGATTCTTTGAGCTCTTTGAAATTTTCTCAATCATGAATCATGCGGTTTGTACAACCACCATTACAAGAAAAAACACATTTAGCCATCGAAATTAGCTGATCGATTTAATTTTGGTAGCAATTAGCGATCGATTTAGCGACCAATTTAATTCGATCGCAATTAGCAACCAATTTAGCAACCACTTTAATTCGGTCGCAATTAGCGACCGATTTAGCGACCAAGTTAATTCAGTCACAATTTAGCGACCAATTTAGCCACCAAAATATGATTTGGTTTCACTTTTTTATTTAGCGATCGAAATAGCGACCAATATTTTGCGTCGCAAAATTTCGATCGCTAAATCGATAGCTATTCCATATTAAAATAAAAAATCATTTAGTGACTGATTTAGCTGATCGAATAACAAATTGAAATAGTGACCGAATTAAAATCAGTCGCTAATGAATATTATTTTTTTATCATATTTAAATTTATTTTTTTATAAATATATTTTAATTGTTTTAGTATATTTTTTACAATTTATTTTTTAAAAGTAATTTATTTTTTAAAAATAATTTAATTTTTAAAATATACTTTAAAAATAAACTTTGGTCTCAATATTAATAAAATGAATTGTAATAAATCAAATTTATTAAAAATTTAAATTGTAATAAATTAATACTAGAGTGATATTACCTATTCAATACATTGTTTAAGAAAAGTTTAATAACAAATATTCTTTAATTTATTTTTCAATTGAAAATTTCAATTGAAATTGAATTATATTTTAAAAATTTATATTAAAAAAATTAAACACATCAAAATATCACATTTTAATTCCTCATTAACTTAATTAATTAAAAAAATACAATTTTAATCAAATTATTACAATTTTATTTTATAATACTTTATTTTTAAATCAAATTTTTAAATTTATTGCTTTATTATTATTAATTACAAAAAAATTTATATCAATATACATTAGATAATAAATATATTATTTAATTAAACTATTTATAAAAATATATTTATCTTTAGTTAAAATATTTTTTAGTTTAAGTATACTAATTCATATTTTTTATTTTTAACATAATTAATAAAAAAGATTAAAAATATAAAATTAATCTATTTTATAAATACTAAAAATAAACCATATTTAAATAAATGAAAAATATATTTAAATTTATATTCAACATAGTTAATGTTGTGTCTTTTTAAAATTTATATTCAACATATATTTAAATTTATATTAAAAATAGTTAATATAAATTAAGGTTGTGCCTTTTTAAAATTTTAACTTTTTTATATATTCGATTTTCATTAAAAAATTTCTAAAATTGCATAAGAAAATAGAGATTTAATTATACTTTTAATAAATTTAAGATAATACTAGTTTTTATTTTTATTTTTAAATATTTATTTTAATTTTTTAAAAGAGAGAAACTATAATTTTAGTTTCTAAATACTAAATTTAAAGAATTAAATTTATTATTATTTAATATTTTAATTTTAGTATTAAAAATCTAAATTATATTTTATTAAATTAAAATAATTACAATATATTTTTCTACTTTGAGAATTAAAAATATAATTAAACTAAAACTGAA